CGGGCAGCGCGAGCAGCCCTTTGGTTTTGTGCCTCAGACGGAGAAAATACGCTCGTTCCTTGTCTTCAGATCAGAGAGCACCACCGCAAAGTCCGGAAGGAGGCCAAGAAGCGCGGCCGCAAAAAGCCTAAGAAAGATCCCGGTGTTCCCGGTGCCGCACCGTTTAAGGAAGAGCTTCTGCGGGAAGCGGAGCAGAGGAAGCAGAGGGTAAACTCCAGTTTGTGGTAAAAGAGAACGAGAACTGAGACCGTCCCCATCTTCAGGGAAGCTTTGTATGCCTGTGTGTCTGCACGCGTGCACGCCCACAGGTGCAATCATGGTGGACTGTAAATAGTGCTGCCAGAGTTATACTTTGGAAAAAAAGTATTTATTTCCAGAGTTATACAGGGTTTAGCAACTTATTTTTAACTTTAATCACTGTGTGGATGAATATGTAATGTGAATTGCCCCTGATGCTAAGATACATACATGTCCCATCAGAACGCTGAAATTTAAATCTTGGCATCATGAGATTATGCAGAAAACAAGGATTTGCTGTCTGCAGTGTGGAGTAATGTGACTTAAGAGCAGCACCCTTCTCACTTGCAATGTGGCTGCTGCACGGCTGTTATTTTGTGTTTGAGCCAAACTCAAATGGATTTGAGCCTCTGGTTTTAAGTCAATTGAAGACAATAGTATTCTTTTCTGGATAGGATCCAAAAAATGTTCCCAGTGTCACTTGAACAGCCATGACTTCTAAAGTTGTCTCGGGAACTTTGGTGAGAAATAAGTAAATGGGGAGAAAGCCTTCCTTACCACCTTCAAATGTGTTTTTTCTGTCTTGGGTTTTTGTTTGCCATCAGCTTGAAGAATTAAAACAAAAGCAGAAGCTCAAGAGACAGAAGGAGCATGAAAAGAGGAGGAAGCTTGAAGCTAAAAAGAATGCAGACCAGATTGGTGAAAAAGCAGGGGGAAAGGTAGGTGTCTGCTATGATTTTGATTCTTTGAGGCTTATAGAGGCAATAAAAGTCATCCTGAAATGACATCTTTTTAAACAGTATGAAGATTTTTCACGCTGTGTATGCACACCAGTATAATACACTAATTCTCAGTTAAATTATTCCCTTTCATTTTTATTTGCATTCAGGAATCCTCTAGTAAATCTAAAGCAAAGACTACCAAAGGGCTGGATAAAAATTCAAAGGAATCATTCTGCAGGGAGCTCAACAAGGTGAGATGCTTCAGCTATTTTCATATAATTCAGTGAGAGTCTAGGTTTATTTTCCTTTTTTGCATTACGGTGCAGCTGCTAGAGAGCATCAAGGTTGCTCGTGATAAACTCCAACACCAAAGTAAGGGATTTTATAATAGGAACTGAGTTTCAGTCTTGCGTGCTGTGAGCTACTGAGACATCTGGCACTTTGAGGCATGAGACTTCTTGGGCCAATGTCAGTACTTACAGAGTACTTAACAAGTGATCAAGGAGCTCTTGTAGATACTAGTATCTAAGGATTTCTTGCTCTTGGAGGAAAAAGATGAAAATTGCTTCAGCTTTCTGGTTTGTACTTCAGCAGAAAGGAGCTCAAATAAGAAGAGCAGTTGTATAAAACCTCAGCAATCCTGTAAAATTCAAAAGTAACTGTTGTAAGCCACAGCTATTTCTGTGTTGTCATCTGTCAAATGGTCTGTCGTGTCTTGAAAGTGAGTCTTCCTTTTTCTGACCTAGGTGATTGAGGCCTCAGATGTGGTTCTAGAGGTTCTAGATGCAAGAGATCCAATGGGCTGCCGCTGTCCTCAACTGGAGCAAGCTGTAACTTGCTCTGGAGGAGACAAAAAGCTGCTCTTGGTTCTGAACAAGACTGGTAAGAAGCACAGATTTTGAAGCAGTGCTTGGTCACTGTGTGGTTCTGTGGTAGGCGAGCTGTGAAGAAGACTTTAAAGGAATCAGAGATTCCACTGAAGACATAAGATCCAACTCTGAGCTCGCTGCCCTACGGAAGGGGTCACATTTCCTCCACGTTTTACTCTCGTTTGCCAAGAAAACACAGATGGGTAAATGCACATTAGACCCCTTCTTTTGCAATAACTTCCGATGGCATTGGCCAGTCTTAGCCAAATTTGACAGAAGGTAAAGATCTTACAATTTTTAATATTTTTGTGAACATGGGTGAGTAGGTAGACATCATGATGCTGGTCCCCACTGAGGCAATGGTGGGTTAAGGATCAGCAAATCAATGCAATAATTGGATTTGAAATTTGGCTGTGGAAAGTATTTTGCTCTTCTGTTGCTGTATAAAGAATCCTCACAAAAGCAGGTGAAACGAACTAAAAAGGCTGGAGCAGCAAAAAAAAGAAAGTACCAAGAGTAAAAGGAATTTTTGAGTATATTAAAAAATTATTAGAGTAATATTAGACATAAACTAATATTATAGTGGCCTCTGCAGGGGTGATAGGATAATACTTCACAGAACATCACTATGTAACCTACAAAGTCTCCTAGCAAGACTCCAGCATTAAAAACCTGAAACGGGCAAAAAATGCAATTGTGGTATGTTCTGCTTGAGGCACAAAATAAAGACTAAAACTTGCAACAATGGGTGCCTTTGGGGAACACGCCCATGCAAATGCTAATATCTTTGTGCTAATAGAGTTTTCAGACCAACATTGCTTATCATAAAGAATTATACTAAATGGACAAAATACAGCTCGGTTCCTGATTCCAGATTAGACTTCCTCCACAGAGTGACATTCAAGATTCACAGGATGAAAGGACTCTTGCTCTTTTTTCCAGATTTAGTGCCAAAGGAGAACTTGGAGAAATGGTTGAATTATTTGAACAAGGAATTTCCAACGGTGGTTTTTAAATCGGCAACAATGATAAAGGACAGGACTATGGTAAGAGCACTGCAGGCTGTCTCATGACTAAGTTGTATGTTTTTGCAATCATACATGTAGAAACATGTTGAGAAATGGGAACTCTTGTTCTTTAAAATTCTTTTTTCCTTTGGTTGTACTTCTGTGACTCACAGATGTCTCTTTGCACTTTGCATAAATTTTGCAGTACAGTAAGGGGATTCCTGC